CTCTACCACTTGAGCTACAGCGCCACTTCCGGTTTTCTGGTGGTTTATTGGAGATAGGAGTCTCACGGTCTCTCCTGCCCAGGCTGGCTTTGAACCGCGATCCTCAGATCTCAGCCTCCTGAGTAGCTAGGATTACAGGCGTGAGCCACCAGCGCCCGGCTCAAATACCTTTTGAGATGCTGATTTTTTTGTTGTTGTTGGTCATGGGGCTTGAACTCTGGACTTGCACACTGTCCCTCAGCTCTTCAGCTCAAGGCGAGCACTCTACCACTTGAGCCACAATGCCACTTCTGGTTTTCTAGTGGTTTATTGGAGATAGGAGTCTCACGGACTTTCCCGCCCAGACTGGCATTGAACCGATCCTCAGATCTCAGCCTCCTGAGTATCTAGGATTACAGGTGTGAGCCACTGGTGCCCAGCTGAGATCCTGATTTTTATAACTTGTGATTTTTTTTGACAGGGTAAAGAAGTAAGAATCCTATTTCATAATATCATACAACTTTGCATATATTTAGCCTTTGGAAAGAATCAAGGATGTGGCAATGTCTTTTTCTATTTTCTGTTGCTATAACAAAACCCCACAGACTTTATAAAGCAAAGGTATTTATTTTGCACATTCTGGAGGCAAAGAGGTCTAAGATCAGGATGCTGGTATCTGGCAATGGTCCTGAAGCTGTGACACAGTATGGCAGAGGGCCTCTCATAGCGTGGGTACAGTGAAGAAGTGTTAGTGCAGGTCTCCCTTCCTCCTAGTATAAAGCTACTAATCCCATCATAGAGCCCTCACCATCAAGATCACTAAATTCTAATTACCTCTCAAAGATTCTATCTCCAAACACCATCAAAGCATGAATTTTGGGATTAAGTTTCTAAGATGAGTGTTGGGGAAGCACATTTAAATCATGGCACATGGTAATTTCATTGGGAAACATCTGTATAGCGTTTTAGCTCATTTTTCAAGATTTTTTTATTTTTATTTTATTGTTTTTTTTTTTTTTTTGCCAGTGGTGGGGCTTGAACTCAGGGTCTGGGCACTGTCCCTGAGCTTCTTTTGCTTAAGGCTAGCAATCTACCAACTGAACCACAGTCCCACTTCCAGCTTTTTCTGTTTATGTAGTACTGAGGAATGGAACCCAAGGCTTCATGATTGCCAGGCAAGTACTGTACCACTAAGTCACATTCCCAGCCCAACCTTTTTTTTTTTACTTTCAGGGTTTTTTTAAACTATTTTTTAGTGTTATTATAAAGGTGATGAACAGAGGAGTTACAGTTACGTAAGTCAGGTAAAAGAATTTCTTTAGCAACTGACATGTGTGTGCTTAGAGAATCACCATTAAATAGACAGCAGCAACAGGTCAGCTCTTGCTCTCATTGACTAAGACACCCATCAAGGGCAGATACTGGCAATGGCATCACCTATTACTAAAATCCTCCATTCCAGTTTCTCTTCCCACAACTTGAAGTCCCACACCACCCTCCTCCAGACCAGGAAGGCACATGATCTAGGGGGAAGTCAGTGTTGTCCAACCACAGTCTGTTCCACTGCATCTTTTTCACTGGCAAAGATCTGTACCTAATATCTGTGATCCTGTTTCAGAGTCAGAACAGACTACAGGGACTACAAAAATAATTGCTTGATTGAGTTAATCAAAGAAATGATTTGCCAGTGCCTCATACTCCTACTCATACTCAGGAGGCTGAGATCTAATGATCAAGGTTCAGAACCAGCTGTGGCAGGAAAATGTATAAGACTCGAATCCCCAATTCACCACTAAAGAATCCAGAAATGGAGCTGTGGCTGAAGTGGTAGAACTCTAACCTTGAGCAAAAAAGCTCAGAGACAGCACCCAGCCCTTTAGTTCAAGCCCCTGGAAAGAAAGAGAGGGAGGAAGGAAAGATGGAGGGAGGGAGGAAAGGAGGGAGGGAGGAAAGAAGGAAGGAAGGAAGGAAGGAAAGAAGGAAGGAAGGAAGGAAAGGAGGGTGGGAGGGAGGGAAGAGGGGAGGGACGAACCAGTAATCTTAGCTACTCAGGAGGCTGAGACCTGGGGTTTGTGGTTCAAAACCAGCCCAGATAAGACAGACTGTGAGACTCATCTCTAATTAATGATCAGAAAACCAGAAGTAGGAGCTGGGAAGGTGGCTCAGTGGTAGAGCGCTTGCCTTGCATGCCTGATGCCCTGGGTTCAATTCCTCAGCACTACATAAGCAAAAAGAAAAAAGCCAGAAGTGGCGCTGTGGCTCAAATGGTAGAGCACTAGCCTTGAGCTGAACAGCTGAGGGACAGCACCCAGGCCCAGAGTTCAGACCCCACGACCGGACCCCGCCCCCAAAAAAAGAAAAGAAAACCAGAAGTAGCACTGTGGCTCAAAGTGGTAGAGCACTAGCCTGGAGCAAAAAAGCTTAGGACAGTGTCCAGGCCCTGAGTTCAAGCCCCACAATTGACAAAAAAAGAAAGAAGGAAGGGAGGAAAGGAGAGAGGAAGGGAGGGAAAGGAAGGAAAGAAATGATCCATGAACATATCTTAGAAAAGGGGGAGCCAGCCCTGTGAGTGGAAAGGATTTCTCCCCTGCCAAAACAATGTGTGTAGACAATGCCCTGCATTGTCTACACACATGTAAGAGCCACCTTCTCAATCATTTGGCATTCAAGTAGCTAAGTCAGCTCCACTCTCAGCTCAAAAATGATTGGGGAGCCAAAGTGTTAGCATTCGCCTCTCCTGCCAGGAGGAAAGGGAGTCTGGTTCAGAGACCAAAGCAAAGCTTATTCATCTCATCTATCAAGACCTTGAGCCAGAGTCCTTCACAGCCCCCCAAACATAAGGTTGTCCAGCATTAAAGAACCACAGAAATCAAGTACCCCTCCATGACAGGAGAAATAGCAGGGAAATGGGGCGAAGGTGACAGATTCTGAAGAGTAAATGCACACCTTTGTGCTCTTGCCTTCTTAAAATTCATCCTCTCACCTGCCAGCCTGGAGAATTGCCTATTTACATAACTAGCTTCCTAAAATGGAATATTGGATAATAGTACATGGCGGCTTACTTCATTCGAGCCCATCCCCAGCATAGGAGAGTGATCCAGAAGCTCTCCGACAGCATGGAGCGTGGCATGCTGGCCTGAAGCCATGCCTCTGTGTGGCATGATCCTGTCAGTGCTTCAGAGCTAAGCAGGTGTCAGGCCCAATTGTGCCGAAGTGGGAGACTACAGAGCAGGGAGGCGGAGGCCTGATTCAACAGTGGCCTGCTGTCTGTCCCTCACAGACAGCATCTCTCCCTCGGCTTCACAGCAAAGTCCTTGTTCTGCCCATGGTGCTATGTCAGACATGACCCACATACAGGGCTTGATAGGGGTGGGGGAACTTATAGGATCCATGTGGACAATCCAGTGCGGGAGCTAATCAGTCAGCTCTGATCCATGCCCAGGCTTTGTGCCAGCCTCATACCCCCCATTGGTCCTCTCCACAGCACAAATCTCCCTCCCATCAAAACTGGAACCATGCTGCTTGCCTATAGGAGGAGTATAAATAAGTGATAAGGAAGTGTTCTGATACTGATAAGCGGTGTAGCTCCTCAGTAGACCAGATGTATCAAAGAAGGCAATTGTGTGTGTTTGTTCCTTTATTTTTCAGTGTTCCGGTTCCCGTAGTCAGTTTAGAGAAAATTCCTAACCTAGTGAAGGCAGATGGTGCCAATGTCAAAATGAACTCTACAACCACTACTGCAGTCACTTCTTCCTCCTCCTCCTCCTCCTCCTCCTCTTCCTCTTCTGCTGTCTCCGCCCCACCTCTAATTAAGCCCATCCTGATGTCTAAGTCGGTGCCACCTTCACCTGAGAAGATCTTAAATGGCAAAGGGATCCTGTCCGCCACCATAGACAAGAAACACCAAAATGGCACCAAAAACAACAACAAGCCTTACCGGAGACTTTCAGGTATGTGTCCGTATCATTAGAGTCTGGTTCATGATAAGACTAAAACTCAGTCCCTTCTGTAACCAAGGAATGATATAGTCATATAATTAAGCAGCGTTGTTTCATTGTCAAGGGGACATGGCGTATATTTGCAAACAGGATCCCCCATCTAAAAATGCAAAGGAGAACTGATTCTCTTATTCCTGGGGCAGATAAAGACTCTGGCTTTGTTAAGTGTTTAGCAGGAGTTATCCCCAGTGGCTCAAGGAGCAAGTCTGTGAACTCTGAGTTCACAGATGGCTGTGCAACCAACGATGCTGAGTGGCTGGACGACCCCTGGCTGCTGTAAAAGCATCACTGCTTTGAGGTTGGGTAGTCTACCAGCATGTCACACAGCATGCTGGGCCAGCCCCATAGATGGACTGCACAAGGAGACACGGCCTCCATCCTTCATGTCACAGCACTGTAGGGTGATTCTGTAGGTGGAGCTACATCTGACCCTTCCCCATAGTCAGGCTGGAATTCCCACTGGGGCTGGCACAGTATAGGGCGGGGTGGGGAAGTTGTCTGAGCAGACATGGCCCTGCTAGAGGCCCAGTGGGGATAATATTTGCTTTGGATCTGCCCAAGAATGAAATCCAGAAGTTCTGTTCTCTCCAAACAACCAAAGGTATAAACTTCATAACTTCTCCACACACCATGGGTGCTATCTAACAGTGGACAGGAAAAATGAACTACAGTGAAAACCACCCATTGAGAGAGAAGGTATCTTCTGGTATGAGCAAGAATTTTAAGAACCTTAAGAGGTGTGGGTAATTTCTTATTTCGGATTTCATGTTTATCTGCATTTCTAGTTTTCTATCGTACATCTGTAACTCCAAACTTGTGTCTTTTTCTTTTTAAGTATCTCAGGCCTTAGGTCCAAAGCATTAAAGCAAAACAAGTACTGTGTGCCTGGCACAACTTTCCATGTCTTGTTCACGCACTATCAAGAAAGAGAGCTGGGAGTATGGCTCAACTGGTAGAATGCCTGCCTAGCAAGCACAGGGCCCTGAGTTCAAATCTCAATACCATAAAAACATAAAAATAATCATCAAAACCAGAGAACATAGTGCCTGTCGCTGTCTACAAGCATTGTGGGGGGGGTCTCAATCTATGGGCTGAGTCCCCAACTTCTCTCCTCCCAAATGGCTAGTGCAGAAATGGGTAGGAACATCCCTGGGGCGGGGGGGGGAGCCTGTGTCTTGAGTCCAGCAGCCATGGTTCTCATTACATGAGAGGCATGGCCTTGGCTTCCAGTTGGTGTCCCAGTCTGAAGTTGTTTAGGGAGTGTGTGTGTGTGTGTGTGTGTGTGTGTGGTTATTTTGCATTTTGTGGGTTATTTTATTTCATTGGAGCTTTTGCTTGTTTCTACCTTGCCCTCACCCTTGGCAGGCAGTGCCTACCCCAGCCAGAACCTCTCTCAGTTCTAGACCAACACGAGGTGCTGGTGTGGGTTTGTACACCAGGGGAAGGCCACCACAGCAGACAGCCTGGGGCCTGCTACCCTGGCACCCACTGCCTGCTGAGAAAAGGGTTCCAAGAAAAGAACAGCCTTAGGACTAGCAGTTTTCTTCCCTGAAAAATGAAGTGTTTAAAAAAAAAAACAGGAGGAGCCAGGCGCCGGTGGCTCCCGGTGGCTCACGCCGGAGGCTCACGCCTGTAATCCTAGCTACTCAGGAGGCTGAGATCTGAGGATCATGGCTCAAAGCCAGCCTGGGCAGGAAAGTCCGTGATACTCTTACCTCCAATAAACCACTAGAAAACTGGAAGTGGCGCTGTGGCTCAAGCGGTAGAGCACTCGCCTTGAGCAAAAGAGCTGAGGGATAGCACCCAAGCCCAGAGTTCAAGCCCCATGACCGATCAAAAAAAGGGGGGGGTTGCATTTTGATAGCTGTGAGTATAAGAATGGCTTGCTTGCATCAACATAACCACCAGTGCAGAGATCCTGAAACTCCTGTGAAACATTCATTCATTATATCCAAGTTTATGCCACCAATGCAGGCAGTTTTCAGCCTAGGGAAACAGAGTTTGTAGCCCTAGGGATGCCCAAGTTGCTGAAGAACCCCTGCCCGCAGCAGCCATCTCACCCATACACCCAGAGCTGTACATTTCTGCTCTGCAGGACTCGGGTCCCCATGTTTTCCAGAGATGTTATCCCAGAAGCAATGGAGGATCCTTAGATGTAACCTCCATATAAGCCATCAACAAAAAAGTAGTCCAACCAGAAAGCAGGAAAGATATAGAGAAAGCCAGACCTTCCAGCCTTCATCCCTGGAGGCCAGAGTACCTTGGGCTGTGGGGCTTCAGGACCATGACATCAGGGCAGAGCAAGCTGAGAGATTTACCAGGGCTTGCTCTCTAGGCACTTCAGGTTCTGCCACACAAAGGAACTCAGACTTTTCCCTGCCCTTATCTATGGCTCTGCAGAATGTTCTGAATCAGGGAAATGATTTAGTTGGTTCACAAGGCTGTGTGGAAAGCCCACATTGAAGGCTTTGCAGAGCACGAGGGGCAGGTCAGGCTGACATGTCAAGGAACAATCTCCCACTTAAATGGCTAAGGTAGCAGGAAGGCCAGGGTGGGGGCGGGGCTAGGAACTATGGGAGCAGTCTGAGGAGTAGGGGTTCCTGGGTCTCAGGTGGCTGTCCCTGACATGCATCTGCCATGCTCGAAGTGCCAAGAACCTGTAGGACCATTTTAAGTATAATAAAGTCCTGTATAATAAAGTATAATAAAGAGCAGTCTGGCTCTTTTGCCTGTGGTGTCGCTTCCCACCCTATTCCCTTATTGGACTTAGGAAGGCCAGGTTCAAAGGAGAGTGCCATCTCTCCCTGAGAAGTTCTTGAAGAATATTAGCAGCCGGTTTAAAAAAGAAGAAGAAAAGAAAAACAGAAGAAAAAAAAAACAGATTGCCTGACAATATCTCACTTGTTGGTGCATATGTCATATGTGCATTTTTTTAATGTAGTCTTAATGCCAAATCCTATTTAGTCTCCTTTTTTCTTATATTTTTTATTTGTTTCTTAAACCAGAGAGAGAATTTGACCCAAATAAACACTGTGGAGTATTGGATCCCGAGACAAAGAAACCTTGCACAAGATCCCTCACCTGCAAGGTATTTCTCTTTCCATAAAAAATACTTCCTGCTCTCGCTGGGGCCTTTGTCGAAATGTTTGCATGCCACTTTCTGCACACGGCAGGGTGTGGAACCTCGACATGACCTCCAGCTGTTCTTTGTAAGGGAAATGCTTTCTTCTCATCCACAGTAACAGTGCCTGCCTCAAGCTGGCTGGCTTTTTAAGGAAGAGAGAGAGAGAGAAAGAGAGAGAGAGAGAGAGAACACTAGGCTTCCCCAGTTACTTGGGAGGCCAGACAGTAAATTGTATTTATAGGCACTCACAGGCGGTTCTAAAGCCTGCTACGGTTTAATGTATGCAGGAGCAGCGGCGGCGGTGGCAGCAGCGCCCTGAAAGACAGCCCTAGAGAGAAGGATGAGATGCTGCATCCTTGATCCAGGCACACGAGGTGGCCAGGGGACAGAGGACCCAAGGTGGCTGACTGCCACTGGGCATCCCAAAGCCCCATATTTCCTCCTGAACTGGTAGTGCTTCTTGGCATCAGGATGAAAGCTAAGGCCCTCCCTGCCTAGTGGCTCTGTTTGTCTGGGCCGACTGGAGACTCCCACCTGCCCTTGGATTAACTCTAGCATTCCCTCACGGTTGCTTTTCATCAGAGAGGTTTTCATGGGTTCTGCGTGGAGACTCGTCATCTCATGCCATTTGTTTGGAGGAAGCATTGGCTTGTTAACACCAGGAGTGTAGAGCATGGTTGCATCCGAGGGATCTCTGCCTCTCCCCAGCCGCAGAACAAGAGCTGTTGTTTTGAAGTTGACTTGTCAAGCACCTCTAAATTGCCATGGTTGCTATTTCTGAAATGCAAGGGCCTGGGGAAGCAAGTTTATGTGCTGATCAAAGAGGCTGTGCTTCTCATCTCTCTTCTCCTTAGACACATTCACTAAGCCATCGGAGGGCAGTCCCAGGCCGGAAAAAGCAATTCGACCTCCTCCTGGCAGAACACAAAGCCAAGTCCCGGGAGAAAGAAGTTAAAGAGCATCTCCTGACTTCCACAAGGGAAATACTTCCAAACCAAACTGGGCAAGTTCAGGATTCTCTGCCCGGATCTTCAGGGAGCTCCGGGCCAGAACCGAAAGTCACATCTCCTGCGAAATCCAGGCCACCTAACTCTGTGCTCCCCAGGTAAGTCCTGCAATGGCAAATAGAAGCCCTGAATCCTTGGTCAGGGGACTTTACCTTGATGGTGAAGTGTGCTGAGTATGGTTGGATTATGCATTAAGTGAAATCATGATGGTATGATCTCATTAGGTGCTTTTGAAGTTTAAATAAGGCTGTGTGCATACAAAGCCTTAACCATATCGTGTTCAGCACATTGTACTGCTGTCTGTCATCATTGTCACATGCAGCATCAGTCTCTGTAGCAGAACTTTATCAGACAGTGTATGTTTTTACAGAGGAACATGAGCTGTGGGTGCGGCTCAAGTGGTAGAGTGCTAGTACTACCTTGTTCCAGTATATGCCCTGTCCCCTCACCCTCCCTCCCCACCAAAAAAAAAAAAAAAAGCAAGCTAGAAATAAGAACCTGGAAGGGTGATAACTCAGCTATGGGTAAGTTGCTGGCTGCTTGGGATTTTATATTAGTTGACGATTCCTGGAGTAGGATGGGGAAGCCTTAGGAAGATCAAGAACAACCTGAACCACATGAGCCCAATTGCCACAGGGTCTATGATTTATTTTCCCCTACTCTCTGATGATCAAGACCAAGGGGGAAGTTGGCAGAGTTGAGGTTGTTTGTTCTTGTATTTCTCTCCATGACAAGCAGGCTGCCCTTCTGAGCCACCTGTTTGGGCCTTTTTTTTTTTTTTTTTTTGCTTCTAGTAAGCAGAAAGGAAAAGACACACAACAGAATTGAAACTTGTTTGGTTTAAAAGCATATTTAAAGTGTGTATGTCTGTTTTGGTGAGCAGTAGACTCTTGGTAATGTGACAGAGAATTATATTTATTCAAAAATATCCATTGAGCCAGGTGCCTTTAGCTCGTATCTGTAATCCTAGCTACTCAAGAAGCTGCAATCTGAAGATTGCAGTTTGAAGCCAGCCCAGGCAGGAAAGTCTTAACTTCAATTAATCACCAAAAACAAAAACAAAAAGCTGGAAGTGGAGCTATGGCTCCAGTAGTAGAATGCTAGCCTTGAGCAAAAAAAGCTCAGGACAGCACCCAAGATTGGCACGCACACACACAAAGCCATTGAGTACTTACTCTATAAGCCAGGTACCAGGTTAGATATTCTCAAGGAAGGGTAGAGAGAAACAAAAAGATGAAACTAGACCCTGAATTTAAAACTATAGAGTTTAGAAAATGGCTAAGGCTCAAATATCAATACTTTATATAAAAAGGAAAATTAACAATATTCAATGAAAAGTACAGATAGTTGTGTTATCTGATGTTTTATGCATGCAATGTACCTGCATATTGTCCAATAAGTAAGTAGGCTTTTGGAGAACATTGCTAGAAAAGGAGAGCAGGGAGTTGATTTTTTTTTTTTTTTTTGTCAGTCATGGGCCTGAACTCTGGGCCTGGGCACTGTCCCTCAGCTCTTCAGCTCAAGGCTAGCGCTCTACCACTTAAGCCACAGCACCACTTCTGGCTTTTTCTGCTTATGTGGTACTGAGGAATTGAACCCAGGGCCTCATGCATGTGAGGCAAGCACTCTACCACTGAGCCACCTTCCCAGCCCCAGGTAGTTGATTTTTAAAGCAAAAATAAATATTTGATGGCAACTGTCCCTTTTTCACCAGATCCTCACTCTCATATTCCTGGCACTTTTGGTACACATCTGAATATCTGACAGCAGAATTCTTCAACCATTATAACCAAGCTCAGCTCCAGGCATTTAAGAATATGCAGTCAAGCAGAACTGGCCCCTATGCGTTTCCATCATTGTAGCCACTGTTACATACTTGTCATCTGTCACTGAGCCACACCTCCAGTCTTTTATCACTTTTAGTTCATTTTTCAGATAAGGTCTCACTTTTTTGCCTGGGTCAGCCTCAAACTGATCTTCGTACCCCTCCCTCCTGAGTAGCTGTGATCATATATGTGAACTACCACACTCACCTCATTTCTGAGAGAAGGTCTTCCTAATTTTTATCCAGGCTGGCTTAGAATCACAACCTCCTCTATATTCCCTGAGTAGCTGGGATTATAGGCATGAACCACCACAGATAGTCGTGCAAGATTGTTCACTATAAAGCTGGTTATTGTTTAAGACTATTACCCTTGTTTTAGACTTAGAGACAATTCTGTTCCAGACATCTAGGAAGAGCTATTCTGTATAAATAGTCCCCCATTATTTATTTAGACTTCATGGGTGTTTACAATTGCAGTTAGTATCAAATCCTGTATTTTTGTGGGTTTGTTTTCCTAGTCACACATTGCTGTAATCAAAGTTAATTTATAAAATAGGCACAGTAGCCGGGCGCTGGTGGCTCACGCCTGTAATCCTAGCTACTCAGGAGGCTGAGATCTGAGGATCACTGTTCAAAGCCAGCCTGGGCAGGAGAGACCGTGAGACTCCTATCTCCAATAAACCACCAGAAAACCGGAAGTGGCGCTGTAGCTCAAGTGGTAGAGCGCTCCTTGAGCTGAAGAGCTGAAGGACAGCGCCCTGGCCCAGAGTTCAAGCCCCACGACCGACAAAAAAAAAAAAAATAAAATAAAATAGGCACAGTAACTAACAGGAAAAGAAAGTGAGCCGGGTGCCGGTGGCTCAAGCCTGTAATCCTAGCTACTTAGGAGGCTGAGATCTGAGGATCGCAGTTCAAAGCCAGCCCGGGCAGGAAAGTCTGTGAAACTCCAATAAACCACTAGAAAACCAGAAGTGGCACTGTAGCTCAAGTAAGAGCCCTAGCCTTGAGCTGAAGAGCTGAGGGACAGCGCCCAGGCCCAGAGTTCAAGGCCCACGACCAAAAGAAAAAAAGGAAAAGAAAGTGATAAAATAGAACAATTATAACAACCTACTATAATAAAATTGGCCAGCACTACTACTATTGTACTTTGGGGCCTTGGTTAACTAAAATTAAAGGTTATTTGAACAAAAGCACTGCAGTACTGTGACAGTCAATAATGAACAGGGCTGCCAGCTAAGTAATGTAGGGTAGCATATAGCGTGTGGATACATCAGACAGTGGGATGCTCTATATGCCGGCAGACAGAGCAGAACCACGTAAGATTTTCTCATACTACTCAGAAATGTATTTTAAAACTTACCAATTGTTCATTTCAACATTTTTCTTTTTTTTTGAGGGGGTGGTCTGGTCGTGGGGCCTGAACTCTAGGCCTGGGCGCTGTCCCTCAGCTCTTCAGCTCAAGGCTAGCGCTCTACCACAGCGCCACTTCCGGCCTTGGTGCTGAGGAATCGAACTCAGGGCCTCAGGCATGCAAGGCAAGCGCTCTACCACTGAGCCACCTTCCCAGCCCTCAACATTTTTCTGTTTAATATTTTTGGACCATGTTTGACCCTGGATAACTAAAACTATAGAAAATGTAACCATGAGTTTTGCTCTGGTGGCTCACACCTGTCAACCTAGCTACCCAAAAGGCTGAGAACTATTGATTCTGGTTCAAAGCCAGCCCAAGCAGGAAAGTCTATGTGACTCATCTCCAATTAACCACCAGAAAACTGGAAGTGGAACTATGGCTCAAAGTGGTAGAGCACTAATCTTGAGCAAAGAGCTCAAGGACCATGCCCAGGCCCTGAGTTCAAGCCCCACAACCAACAAAGAAGAAAAGAAAATGAAACCACGAACCTGGGGCAGACTATGTTTAGTGACTTTCAAAGTCTTTGTAGCTATCAAGTATTTTTATTCCAGTGCAGCCCTCCATGGTGCTGCCACTGAAGCCAGTTTGTAAGCATTATGCCCACCTTTGGTCCTCAGCTACACTCAGACTTGAGCTCATCCCTGCCCTGCAGTTCCTGCCATACAGCTGGCCCCTCCCTCTCTCTGCCCAGACCCACCTGAACTCCCATCTGCCTCACATCCTACCCTGCCCCCCCCCCCAGACCCAGCTGCTGCTACCTAGATAGTGGAGGCTGCCGTGTGCTCCCTCTCTGGGGGAAATATGGCTCCTCTGATAAACCTTGTAATAATCTTTCTCCTGTGCCTGCCTGCCTCCATGTGGTCCCCTGGGATGGATGTGATGGATCCTTTCACAGTTTATCTCCTCTTTCTTCACACATACATGCAAAGCCATGGTCTCCAATTCATGAAGAATCACTTAGGAGTCCCTAAGTACTCTTAAGGAGCTGGGTCTGAAAACATTTCTTCACCATTTTTGGCTGATGAGGGACTGCTGTCCCTGACTTAACAAAGAAATAAGTGGACAGTGGAGTCTTCAGGATCTACATAGCTCTGCTCATGCCAGGTACTGGTGGCTCATGCCTATAACCCTAGCTACCCAGAAAGCTGAGCCCTGAGGATCATGGTTTGAAGCTAGCCTAGGCAGAAAGTCTGTGAGACTCTTTTTTTTTTTTTTTTAAATTTTTTTTGGGATCAGTCATGGGACTTGAACTCTGAGCCTGAGCACTGTCCCTCAGCTCTTCAGCTCAAGGAGAGCTCTACCACTTGAGCCATAGCACCACTTCTGGTTTTCTGGTGGTTTATTGGAGATAAGAGTTTCATGGCCTTTCCTGCCCTGCTGACTTTGAACAGCGATCCTCAGATCTCAGCCTCCTGAATATCAGCTCAGATTATAGATGTGAACCACCTGAGCTGGGCTGTGAGACTCTTATCTCCAATTAACCACAAAAGGCCAGAAGTGGAGTTGTGGCTCTAAGTGGTAGAGCACTAGTCTGGAACACAAAAGCTCAAGGACAGCACCTAGGCCCACAGTTCAAAACTCAGGATCAGCAAAATATAAATAAATAAATAGCTCTGCTCCTTGATTGTGTAATTTTTAGGAGAATGTTCATGTATAGGGAACACCAGGTATTTCTATTCTCTTAGGGAAGCAGGAGAATGGGCAAATAAGGTTCATTGGGAAAAAGAATGTCTTTGGAAAAGAAGTGGGAAGCAAAAGCAAATTACAAACATTAGTTAAAGAAATTTTTCTTTATTTGATTATTTTATTGTCAAGGTGATGTGCAGAGGGGTTACAGTTGCATAAGTAAGGTAGTGAGTACA